GGTAATAAATAAATTTTGGTTGTAAAGTATATTGTCTTAACAAGCGTGGATTAATTATTTTAAAGATGTATGAAGTTGGTACAATCTATATAAATACAGGATGATATGAATATAATAGTTTAAAACATCAATGATTAAATTTTGTACCAAAATCAATTACATCCTGTTTTATTTTGGTTTAGAGTAGGACACAAGTTGGATACCAAATTCATACTCATGGTAAATTACAATAAATAATATCAATGGTTACTCAGTCGCATACCAAATTATTATAAAATGTATATCATAATAACCTTATATATTATTCACTAATATAAACAATAACCTATATATTAACTTGGTATAAATACTGAATGAATCTTGTATAAAACATGAGCAGAATATTAAACACTTAGTTAGAATGCATTTGATATCAATTCGATATATATTTGATATGCATTGCCAATAAAAATTATTGCAAAACATTGACTACTTTGTTACAATCAAGACAAAACAGGAGTCTAAAAGACAAAATAAAAAAGATATTTTTTTATAGTTTAAACAAATAAACTATCAGTTTTCATCGCAGATTAATTCGAACATGTCTTCCTATGGCGGTCCACTTGAGGACATCTACTGCAAGTAACTTTAGGCCTTTTGAATTTCACATCAGCAAACTTCTTCCAACATTCAAGTTGTGGTCTTATACGGTTATCTTAGAACAAGGAGACATAAATTTGGCTGGTAACATGGTTCGGTATATCACATTTACTCTTGCATGGGAGAGGTTAAACAAGAATGACATACACATCTTTAAAATTCTTCAAGCTATAAATAAGAAAACAACAATATATTTTACGTAGTACCACACAGTATCTCATAATTTCTAAATTGTCCACTACATGTATTCATATTCAAATTTCATGTCAACCTAATACAAATTTAATACAAATCATCATAGTTTTTACTGATATTTTTTACACAATAATGAATATTTATTCACAGCAATATGATGTAAAATACACTATGAAATTCACTCAAACCTATAATTTTATTTATTTTTTCTTCAAGCTGCCGAAACTCAATTATTCAAATGTATTTCTAACATTCGACAAGGTAACAATCCATGAGCTATATAGATTCAATAAGAGATATAATATAATTTTGGCCAATGCATTTCCAACCATGGAACAAAAGAGTAAACATAGAGCCCCCAAGAGCATGACTTTTTCTCTCTTAAATGTTATTAACAAAATTAGTTAATACGATACTTTTAAAATAAATAAATCAATTAAATATATAGTTAGAAGGGTATTCATACTTGCAAGAGAACATCAAATACATTTATTAAAGTTATCTATATTGTCTAAGGGCATCTTCATCCTATCATTAATAACTAGTTCTGCATTGAAACTTCTTTGATTTGCACGATCTCTAGCCTTGAATATAGTAACACTCTGAATTTAAGCACCACATCCATATCTTCAACAACCCTTTTTTATCAATTTTGTTCATAGGTTTTACGCTCTGTCGGTTCTGCTAACTCTTGAAATTCTTCCAGGGCAATTGCTGATGTTTCAGATTTAAGAAATCCTCAACTCCCCGATTCTTTATTGATATAAATTTTTTCAAAAGGAAATTATCCCATTTACATGTTTAAGAGATAATATGACGAGTTTTAAGCCTACTTTTAATATATTCTTGTAATTTGAGGATAGATGTTCTTGATGTGATGACTTTAAGATTTTGGGGATAACAATTGATAAACTTTAGAAGCCTATTTAATTGGTTACATTAATAGGTTTTGGATCTTCCGCATTATATTTTTTTATTCATAGTTGAACTATTGGTGAATGTTGGTGTTTAGAATTGTTGGTTTGCTCACCTAGTAGGTTAAGGGTGGGTGCCACTCACGACTCGTTTTGGGTCGTGACACATTATTATTTATTTATTTATCATTGTTATTATTATTATTATTATTATTATTATTAATATTATTATTATTATTATTATTATTATTATTATTATTATTATTATAAGTATTATTATCAAATTGACTAAAGAAATATATGTTTCATAACAATATTACAACACGTATAATACTTATTTGTATTCACAAATTTCGTAACTTTACAACCATTTTATTTGTTTAATATTCCATACACTTATACTCATATAATTCATATATTAATTCAATCTCGGTAAAAGCCATGGTAAAAAATAAACAAAATAACTAAGAAAAAGCTCAATTGTACCAATAAAATCAAGGAATCTGAATAATTACAGTTTCACATAAATTAATACGTATATGGAAAAAATGACGTTTAAACAAAACAAATCACAACATTAATATATTATACATAAATGAAATCAGAAAATGTCATTTATATTTTCATTTATTTTTACTATTTAGTAATATACAAATACAAACAATAAATCATAAAGAATTCATATTAAAAAGATCTCATCTACCAACAAGTTTAATTAATATAGATAAGTAGCTGTCCATTTCGCAAAATAAAGGCTTTTCAAGCAAAGAAAAGCAGACTCATGAGTGAGGTCAAATTCAGGGAAAAGAATAAGAGATAGAAACTATGAACAAAATATATAAAATCTTTTTTTTTAATTAATGTCCACATATTAGAGTGAAATAAGGAAAATAAATATACCTAATTAATTTGAATCTCCTAAATTTATGTTAAATAACAATTATCATCAATGAATTCAAAATTAATTAGTACACAATTATCAATTTTTTATCTTTTTTTGTTCAAAAGCGATTTGTTTTCCTTTTTTTCAAAAATTGATTTTTTACAAATAGTTAATCATTGTTTTTATGATTTTTTACAATTTAAAATATTTCATTGTCACAACCTGAAAGTTTTATTCTACTTCTATAACTTCAAATATTATTCTACTAAATGTCATTAATAAAATTTATTAATGGGGAACTTGGATAAAAACGTTTTTTGAAAGAGTCTTCACTCATTTTACAAGATGCAAATCTACTGAGTTCTCGAGAAAGAAAGATAGGATGTACGTTTCATGATCCAAACAATCGTTATTTGCACCCATACTAACCATATAGTGGGAGAACCACTGCTACAATCCAAACTAAGCAACTAAACCAAAACTAAGTTAATTAAGTTACGAAATAAATTTTGTTAACTAAACAATGCATAATTAAATATCTATAACCTAAAATTTATTGTACCAAAACTCTAACAACGACAACCCTTAGAATAAGAAGTACAACCCCGAAACTAAAGAGCACTTAAAATAAATAGTCTTAATAAAAAAGAGTGGACTTAAACAAAAGGAGAACCCAAGGAAGCCAAAAAGACGTAGCTCACCTTTGACTTAGAACGATCAGTAATCTTCTACAAGGTCTATCAATAGCCGCCGGAAGATTCCTTATACTCTACAAATATAAGAGCAAGTGTAGTATCAGTACACAACCACTGTGTACAATTAGAATCACAAAACTATAATCTCAGGGAAACATAGATAACTAATTACAACAATATAACCATGTAACATACAGAATATGAACAACGTTGATTAACACAATCTTCATAACCTAAGAGAACCAAACCACAACCACTTTTAAAGTCCATTTTTTCAATGCATGAATGAAATTTTATTCCCCACTTACACTAAGTATAATTCTTTGAGAAGTCATAAGTCACAGTCCATGTTCATAAAACAAGCCAATATATAATAAGTGAATGGAACTGTCATGTAACTTGATCCGATCAAAGTTAGTTATGTCTTAACATGAAAATTTAGTTATGTCGTAACATGAAAATCTAATTCAATTTTTATGTCGTAACTTGGCAGTTCAATCAAAGTTAGTTATGCAAAAATGTGACAATTCTATCCAATGTTTATGCCTGAACGTAGGAATCTGATTCACCGTTAGGCCACAATGTGGCAATCCGATCTAAGCTTGAATCCCCTAAGGCACTTGAATCTTCCCTTTCTGGATTATTTCCGCTTATTCTAGGTCTACAACAATTAATATACGCAAGCAGGTATAATATTTTAATTATAACAAACCCAATAACCCTAATGTAAACCTAAGATCATAATATCCAAATTAGTTCTTTTTTCATAACAATGCTCAACTTTATAAAAGCTTCACCGGGCGGAAGTAAAATTGAGTATATTGTGTGCCACATATTTGCCGATGGATAAACGAACAATACTGAGCCTCCTACTTCCTAACCTTTTATAAAGTCCAGCATATCACCATGACCTGGCAAAAAGCAAGCCATAAGGACTTTGTAGATCGCAAGAATGCATATTCTGATACTTGCACGGGCTCATCTTCTTCCAAAAAAGTGAGTTTCACTGAAGGGAGGTTAGAGAGATCCTAACTCTTTAGCTTTATTTATTGTGAAGGTACGGTAGAATGTCACTAAGATGGAGTCCATAGTAAAACCTCTTCCAATGTTATTTACCCATTCTCGGTTCATTTTATAGACCCGTACTAGAAACAATGAATCGTTCTGTGCATGCGTTCTTCACAGGTGCTCGTTAGATTTATCATTCATCACGTGTGTTATAATCATTATAGTTATAAATCACATACGTTGTGAGAACTGCTCAGGAATTCATTGATAATCATTTTTCCATCACTCGGATGTAAGACTCCCACTATTCGCTGATGTCCCATACAATGTTTCGTGAACATCTATGCCCGATAATGCATTATGATATTAAATGATTGTAGAGGGGCTAACGTGGACTTTCTTCGCCTGGATGATAGCGTTTCACCTTACAATTAAGAGAGATACTTCCTTTTGGTGATCGGTTCATTGGAAAAAAAAATAGGGACAACTAACCTTCCCCATCGATAATAATAAAAAAAATAGGTTGTATGGATTAAGAAACGGATTTGGGGAGTTAAAATGTTACCTTTAGCCTCCAGACTGGGGAAAAACTATGAGGAACTCATCTTGGGTCTTCTCTTTAGCTTTAAAATCGATAAGTACAAAATAAGATCGTTTAAGGGGTTATTAGAAACTAAAAGTCATGTCTGGCCATCCACGATTCACCCATCCTGCTATAATGGCTCTTCTCTGCCAGCCTGCTCGAACAAAAAATGTTACAATTCACCCTAATATCATTTTTTGGAGTTCTACTCGCACGGCGTGAGTTCCGTAAAGTCATATAGGTTCCTTATCATCTTATATATCCAATAATCCAAAGGAACATATAACTAGATCTCATTCATTATCACATTTACCCTACACCTTAATGACTCCGATTTCAATGTTTCTACAAAAGAGTTTTCTGGCTTCAAATACTTTTTTTTTATCTTTTCCCTAACAATGGAATTAGGTCGTTATAATAAATACTAATTTACCCATCACTCATACCCGAGTGATCAAGTAGGAGAGGACAGTTAAAGTAAGGGTAGTGTAGTATATTTTTTTTTAGAAACGACCCTTGGAGTGGGTCAGGGGCTTAGCAACACCCCCAGGCCTTATCATATATAGAAACAAAATTTTACAAGAAGGGGGGCATTGACCTTACCTTCTAAAATTTGGTAGGTATGTAATTGACTTATCTACTAAGATAGTCAATTCCACCCTTATACAATAAGATGCACAATTAGAAAGTAATACCTAGAGAGGACTCCTCTCTTAATACATTTTCTAATAAGCATAAATGAGGGAGACTCTCCCCTTACATGGATAATGAAAATAGCAAACCTATTCGACCAACTAAAACAGTCAATGAATAAGTTTAATGACATTGGAATTCCTTCTCAAGTATAAAATTATATCTAGGGAGGATGTTTTATTCTCTTGAGTTTCCTTCTTCTAATGTTCTGGATACCCATCTTCTCCAATAGATAACTTCCTCTAATTGCTCCCTTGAGTTGTGTTGTTGTATAAAAATGTTGAAGTATTTCCAGCTTGTGGCTCCATTTAGCTAGCATGTCTGCAGTACAGTTTGCTTCTCTGTATATGTGATGACACTGAAAATGATCCAATTTCCTAACTATTTGTTGAATTTGCTGGATAATTTCTTCATATCTCCATGGTATCTTGATTGTATTATTGATCCAATTGCACAGCAGCTCTGAATCCACTTCTAACTCAATGTTTTTGTAGCCATGTTGTTCACTCCAGTCCAGCCCATATAGTGAAGCCTTGATCTCTGCAATATTGTTAGTACCAAAACCTAGAGGTAAAGAAAAAGCATAAACTATTTTACCTTGATGATTCCTTAGAATTCCACCTCCTCCAATCTTACCTGAATTCTGTAGGGCACTCCCACCTGTATTTAATTTGTAAGTACCTAATTCTGGCTTATTCCAACTTACCATGACAATTTTATATTGCTGTTGACAATGCTCTATTATATTCATCAGATTACTCCAACTAGATTGCCATGGTATATGAATTAGTATATGAATTGTCGAATTCTGGGGATACTTATCGCATGCCATTCTTACTGAATCCCATCACCCCCTAAAGGTTTCATATCTCAAACCTCAAACCAACTATTTGAATACCTACCCATACTCCTTTACAATTCCTCAATGAAGTTATCTCATCACTCTAGTGATAGTTATTGTTGTATGTTAACTTAACTAACCATTAAAACGATCCTCGATAACCCCTAAGGTTGAGCGCACACATGTTTGCAACATCTAATCAATGAATTTAACACAATCCTGGATGATTCATTTCCCACATAACAATGATAAATTCTATTCCAATACTCGCTAAAAAGAACTTTAACAAACTAGCACGCACTCATAATACCCAAACAATCATTGTTCTTAACATTCATAATACCTAAACAATCATAGTTCTTTCAATGATTTCAATCTTTAGACATTAGATACTCCTTGAGAGATATGTCCAAACATATAAACCATTAAACAACACTAGAGAAAAGTTAGATTTGGTAATTATATATTACATTTTAAGAACAGTAGTTTTGAGTCAATGATCCACACATTTGACTACAAATAATAGATAAATGATCTTGACGAAAAGATAAATTTCATGATTCCCAAACAATCATACTTATGAAGGGTAGCGCCTCAATATTATCTAATAAGAAAGGTGGTACATGTAAACCAAATTTTAACAACTCCAAGACAATAAAAATGTGTCATCTGAATGAACCAAGTCTTTCCTATCATTCCACTTATCTAGGATAACAATGCAGTAATGGTAAACATGATCCTCCACTAGGGATCCACCAACAAAAGTGAGAACACACACAAGCATAACTAGTGCATCACACTCAAAACCATGTGTAAAATAAAATAAATGGTCACATAATAATTTATCAAATAGTAGATAAGGTTTTCCTTTGAGGAGGCGATACCGGCTATTTCCATTCACTTGACCCCACATACTCTTAAAATTGTTCCACCTAATCTAGCATTCTTAATATTAACAACTATCTTAACTACTCCGACAAGTTAGCTTTCTCTGAACTAATGCTCCTTAAAAGAAACCTTTCTTGGGTACTTAACTGTCAATAATAATCAAATTTATGACTCAATACATATGGAAGTCTTTTCAAATTCTCAATACATGATAAGATTGATCATTATTCACCTTGAAATTCATACATTAACAAAATATATTTCCACAAAGGTAAAATTTTAATGAAAACCTAGATTGTAAGTTGTACCATATAACACAATCCATTTAGTTATCAATATTAGCTTATACCTCAACAATTATATAAATAAATAGATCTTCGCTTTTCATAGATTTCATCTCCATCGATTTCACATCATCTTTCATCAACAATTCAATTCTAATCATTACCAAACTCAAAACATAACAAAAATACTTATCATAACCTTTGAGATAGTATTTCTACACTCATTTCTCAAGTCATTTTCATTATTATAACCAATATGATGGACTTGTGATACTATTATTATAATAATCACAGTAAAATGAAAGAAACTACTTCCATACCAAATTATCTACACCTCAAAAGATATCTCTTAAGGCTTTGCAATCAATACAATATTGTTGCTCTCGCCTCTCTATAAAGGTTGTATTATATCCCACTATTTTTCCTCAGTATTACTCTGGCTCTTAAATAATCCATTCAAGTGGTGTCCCGAAAAATCTTGAAACATTCCATGCAACCACATTGCTCACCAAATATAAGAAAAACACAATCGTAGGCTCTCGCAAGTCATAATTACTGTCCCAAATTTGCTTAGCCACAATCTTATTATATTGTTACATCCTGTAAAAATCTACCACGAAGTCTTATTACCATTATTCTCAGTCAACCTTGACTTTCTATATAAAGCCAACATTTCATTAACATGACACCTTAAACTCAAGTAAAATTATCAAATTCTAAGGACTAAGACAATCTTTGTACACGCTCTGTTAAAAAAATCTTCAGTTTCCTTCAACAAGGTATAATGGAACTTTATTTGACCATAAGTAAATCATTCCGGTATTAATTCATTCCTTTATGGATTAATATAAAATAAGTAGTCCTCCTCCTACCATACTTTTTTTATTCAAACAGGACAAGGGCATCTCACTTGGAAACACTAGGACAGATGAATCCTTTAATAAGACGCACTTGGATTTGAGCCTTAAGCTCTCTAAACTATGAAACCCCAAGAATAGACTTAATGGAGAGGGATTGGTCCTCAACATCTCGTATATGATCCCAATACGTCAAAAAATCATGTCTAACCAGTTTCCTACCATACACAAAAGATCAAACCTTATCTGACTTAGGCTTCTACCCAATTCCTACTATAAGCTTTCCTTACCTTGAATCTCTAGAGTTACCGATTTCATATTACAATTATGTGCGATATAATAGAGGGAAAACCAAGTTATGCCTAAGATTATATCAAAGTCAATCATATCCAGCATAACCAAACCAACCAAGTGTAAAAGTCCATAAACACAACAAATATACACGATACACATAGGTAACTATAACTGACTCTTCAATTAAGCTAGATAAATTGATGAGGGCATTTAATATATCACAAACCATATGAAAACCAAAGTCTATTGAATTGACATGTATGAATAAGTATAATCTGAATCAAACAACACCTTAGCCATTTGGTCACTGATACAATCAAATTTACTTCTCGAAACGAAGTAAAAGCGGTCACATCAAGTAAAGAACTTTACTAGTGAGGTTAGGATCATTCCCACAAGGAAAATGGTTCAGACTTAACTTTATTCTATTATTATTCTATTTAGTCAATTATTTCTCAAAAACAAATAACTAAAGGGGTATCTTGATTAATTAAAGCAATTAGCTAAATTAAAGTAATCAAGTTACAAGTTCATGTATTGGAGTTTAATAAAGTAATGAGAGTAACTAGGGCCTAAGTGTTCCCTACAAGCTCCTAACTCGTAACTCTTGCTACAAAAAATCCTTTCCTAGTATCTTGCATGCAAAGTGATAAGATAGATATCTTTAAATCCTTGGTCAGCATCTAGAGAATTTCACTCCGCACCTTGATCTGGCTACGGGTGTTGCTTTACTAAACCTTATCTTAACCTCATATTAAGCATCATATTTAATATTTGACTAAGTTCTTATATTGTAACAACCGACACTAGGCTATTAGATAGTATACACACAATTTATGTTGATAATTAATTTCCTATTATCTACCTCATTGGTCCGTCAAGTAGTAATAAGGTGAGTTCTAACATTGGCCATCCTTTAAAAATACATCTAAGCGAAAGAATTATCAATACATGCATGACAATATTATTGAATCATTATTTTAGTTAGATTTTACCTTGTTATTTACCCATGGTTCCCACAATCCTAGTTACGAAGTTTAGTTACCCATGCTAATAACCACACATATGAAAAAAATCCAAAAATTTACTTGAATAAATCACAAAACACCAATAATCGATTCCGAAAAACTAATGACGAACCATCGTGGTCTTCCGTCTCTCCATACATAGCTCTTTTTCTGCTGCTTTTCTTTATCAACTCTCTAATTACCCTCGACGGACAGGTTTGACGGACTGTTGCAACAATAACGGTTCGTCGAGGATCTTCATTCCACGACAATTACAATAATCTGAAGTTGGATACTGGACTACTTTCTGTTAGCATTGACGAATGTGCATGCCGGACCGTCATGGCTATGACGTTTCGTCGTGAGCTTCCGTAGTCCCACACTTAGTAAGAATTCCCTAACATCCTTCAGCAACCATTATCCTCTCAGGACAATTGACCCCTACGGACCGTCATAGCCACGACGGACCGTCGTGGGGTCCGTAGGTGGTCAATTCTTTAATTTCAGCTCAAAATCTCTGCATTATCTTTTGGACAGATTTCTTGGAAATAAATAGAAAACTACATCAAAAATCAATACAAAAAGGCTTTAGACACAGACTAAGCTTCAGGAAAGGGAATTGAAAGTACCGTGAAATCATGGTACATCAACACACTCAACCTAAGTTCATTGATTGTCCTTAAGCGACGCACTATGACTCACTACAAAATCTTTGTATAAGACTGTTCGTATTTTAGCTTTCGCAAAAATTTGGCTATTAATCATTATTATTCTCAGTATCTTCATGCATTTTATCTTATTAGGCTTGAATTATGTGGATCAGACCATGAACCAGACTCACCACAAATAGACACCTATCCTCTTCGATCTCTCACCTTGGTTCTAATTTTTCCAGTGCAACTAGTGTCCTCACTTCAGAATAATATCCTCATTTTTCACATAATCATTACAATTTGAGTATAAAGATTACTTTTCAACACTCGCTCTTTGAAAAAATTTCACAACTGATTTACACATATTTCCATAGGATTGCCCTTATTTTCACTACTTTAAGTTTGCCATAACAACTCTTAGGATCATGATAGGACTTTATTAGCTTGTAACATAGGCTCATGGTCAGGTAGGGTATATTTAGGTATATTTTAGTGACTTGTTTCCCTCCTTGAAATATCGGCTAAGCCTCTTACCTTTTTATTTCTCAATTTTCTTTAACCTTGCCATTCTCCCTTTCTTCTCCTTATGTGTAAGTGACTCTTCTCTTTTCTTGTGTATTTTTTGTTTTTACTCTTGTGTTACTATTGTTTTGTTACTTTTTCCTCTTTATACTTTCAACCCAACTTTCTAGAGTATTCCGCATAACAACCACCCTCTACTCATGGCTTTGACATGAGTCAAGGTTCACCATAACAAAGATTGGGTACGGGCAACGACAAGGTTGTTTTCTACATTCGTCACCCCCAACTTATGCTTTTCCATAAGCTGAGGTATACATGTCCAAGAAGGACCAGGGCCAATAATTTGTCCCAGAAAAGTTCAAATGGGGTAAAAAAGAAAGATCTATTTTAAGCTCCAACTATTTGGATCAATAAGGTATTAGTTCATTTGGTTTTTCTGTTATTTTAGGACAAAGATTGACTATTTTAACAAGGGCCTATGATCCT